TGACCTCCACCTTCACCCCGGGCCCCGCTCAGTGGCCGTTCTGTACAAGCATCTGACCAGAATGCTGGCCATGTGTGCTCCTGTGCCCCCAACCAAAGCATGACTTTGGGGAGCCATTGAGGTGGGGCGCCATCAGCCTTGGAGGGGAAGGGGTCCCTTCCTTGGGCACCTGCTGGTCGGGCAGGGAGAAGCTGGCGACTGGCACCATGTACAATGTCACAGCTCTCAGGTCCCCACAAGAGGAGGCTGGGCTGAGCTGGGCGTGGTCAGCTCCTGCTCACCATCCAGAGCTGGGGGACCCCTGGACGCTTCAGCTGCAGGACAGGCCCCAGGAGGCACGGGGTCTGCTCTCCCAGCAGCAAAGCTGGGCAAGTACGGGGGTGCAGGGAGTTCCACCAGGAACCTCCCTGATCAAAGGACAGTTCTGGCAGGTGCAGAGACCAGTCGGCTCTGCTGCAGTTCCTCAGGTAAGGCCCCCAGGAAGCCAGTCCAGGCACAGCCAGGCAGCTAGGGGTGCCCCTACAAACTCCCTATAGACGCCAGTCCTTCCGCAATGTCAGGGCCACCCCAGGCCCTGGGGATGGGTGACAAGGGAGGGCCACCTGGGACAGCACCAGTGCCAGCAACCCGACCCTCTGCTCCCTGCACTCTCAGGGCCTGAGGTGCCCCTGGCCGTGGCGCTCTCCAGGACACCCGTGCCTCAGGAGGGACCCCGCCACCAACCCTGCGCTCTCTGCTGCGCAGGTCAGAGGAAGCCACACGGCAGCTCCCAGCCCCTCACAAAGAAATCCCCGACCGGCACAAATGCGCGTGTGGGGGAGGCACTCACTACGCGGCCACCGCCCCCACCGCCCCCACGCGCCTCCTCTCGCACCACACGCTCCTGCCTGGGTTGGGGGGGTGCCCCCGGTAGCGCCCACCACCCTGCCGCGGCTCCCGGGCTGGGGCTGCACCCACCCTCCGCGCAGGGGGGCTGCTCTCGCCACGGTCCCTGGCCAGGGTCCGAGGGTGGCGTGCACAGGGCAGGATGGCCTGCAGCGACAACACCAGCCCGCATTCCGCAGCAGTAGCACAGGGCGCAGGGGCGCAGCCAGCTCCAGGCGGGGCGCCTGCCGCTTAAAGGGCCAGGTTCCCTTTCCCGTCCCTGTCCCTGCTGGACGTCACCAGCCGAGCAGCTGTGGGGGAGGGGGGCGTGGCGGTGGTCGCAGCCACGAGTTCTAGGACCGCAGCATGGTCTGTCCCCACTGCCCTCTCCCGCGAACCTCCCTGTCCTGGAGCTCCCTTCTCTCCCGCTGTGACAGGTGCGCTTCCTTGATGCTCCTCAGCCCCACCCACGGGGGGCGGGGTCTGGTCCTCTCTTCTGGCCTCTACTGAGGACCCGCCCACCGTGCCAGTGATCCTCAAGAGCCCCTTTCCCCCTTTGGGGTGAGCAGCACCCCTCTAACCTTGCCCCCACCCCTCCCATTCTCCATGGTTCAGGCAGGAGCTGTGGGCAAGGCCAGGGGGCTGTCCCCAAGTCTCGGTCCAATATGCTGTCACTATGAGCCATCCTCATACAGTGGGGTGTGCGGAGGGGTGTCATGACTCCTCCTTGGCCCAGCCCTCAGAGAAATAGGGGCAAATACTCTAACCTTGCAGGGTGACGCAGCTCCAAAGGCTGAGTGAGCCAGGTGGCCCAGCCAGGTCCCCGTGAGCCCCCTTGGGGCATCCCACCCAACCCAGGCCTGCCTTGCCAAGTTTTGGGTGAGGGCACTG